CCGAACAGGGCATAGGGTTACAGCCTGTGTTAGATGGGGTTACACTCCCCCTGAAGACGCAGGTTCGCAGCTTGGGAGTGATCCTGGATTCATCACTGAGCCTGGAACCCCAGGTCTCGGCGGTGGCCGGGAGAGCTTTTGCACAATTAAAACTTGTGCGCCAGCTGCGCCGTACCTTGGGAAGTCTGATCTGGCCACAGTGGTCCACGCTCTTGTTACATCCCGAATAGATTACTGCAAACGCACTCTACGTGGGGTTGCCTTTGAAGACTGTTGGAACTCCAACTAGTCCAGCGGGAGGCAGCCAGATTGCTCACCGGGGCATCATACAGGGAGCATACCACCCCCCTGTTGTGTCAGCTCCACTGGCTGCCGATCCAGTTCCGAGCACAATTCAAAGGGCTGGTTTTGACCTACAAAACCCTATACGGTTCCGGCCCAGTGTATCTGTCCGAACGGATCTCCCTCTACATCCCACTCCAGAGTCTAAGATCTTCTGGGGAGGCCCTGCTCTTGACCCCGCCTCTATCACAAGTGAGATTGGTGGGGACGAGGAGCAGGGCCTTCTCGGTGGTGGCCCCCCGCCTGTGGAATTCACTCCCCGGGAATTAGATCTGCAACAACGCTCCTATCCTTTAGGAAAAAACTAAAAACGTGGATCTGGGACCAGGCGGGCAGATTCGGACAAGCGGGCAGATAAAGAAAGAACTTTTGACGATGATTAGGAATGATTAATGGATTAGACCTATGGAACTCTGGAAAACGAAACACTGAGCACGAGAATAGTATATATGATGTTTTATATGATGTTTTATATGATGTGTTATGTACTGGTTGTTTGACTGTTTTAACTGCGATAACTGTTTTAATTATGGTTTTGTATATTGTATGTAAATTTGTACAGGCATCGAATCGTGCCTTTTCTGTAAGCCGCCCTGAGTCCTCCTTCGGGGGTTGAGAAGGGCGGGGTAAAAGTACCCGAAATAAATAAATAAATACCAAATGTCAGCTTTATATTTTAAAAGATTTACCTACAGATACAGTATATGTTTACATCACTAGATTTTTCATTATTGTCATAAAACACAAACACAGTGTTTTGTGTATGGTGTAGTTGTACTTTTTTATTCCAGATATATTGGAGTTTAATTTTCACTCTTTTTATTCCATTGACTAGACTTTGACACCACTTTAACTGCTTTGACTCAGTGCTATGGGATCATGGGACTTCAATTTTACAAGGTTTTTATAGTTCTCTGGTGAAAAATTCTGGGGCCTCACCAAACTACAACAAAACCAGTGTTTTCAAAAAATCGACCCTCTTTTGTATTATGTTATACCACCCTGATGAGGAAACACAACATACAAACTATCTACAGACCCACCAAGAAAATCTAACAAATGCTGCATTCAGCAGAGGACAAGAGGGATCCTCTCACTTCTGCAGGAGTCTACCGTATACCATGCAGCTGTGGACAAGTCTACATAGGGACCACCAAACGCAGCATGGCCCAGACACAATTCAAGGAACATGAAAGGCACTGCAGACTACTTCAACCAGAGAAGTCAGCCATAGCAGAGCACCTGATGAACCAACCTGGACACAGCATATTATTTGAGAACACAGAAATACTGGACCACTCTCACAACCACCATGTCAGACTACACAGAGAAGCCATTGAAATCCACAAGCATGTGGACAATTTCAACAGAAAGGAGGAAACCATGAAAATGAACAAAATCTGGCTACCACTATTTAAAAAAACTCTAAAATTACATCAGCGTAACAACAGAGAGGAAACAATCAGGGACAGATAATCACCTCTCAACAAAAGATTCCCCCAGGCACTAACATGCCACACAAAAAACCAGGCCATCAAATGCTAATCAAGGTGGTCAGTTGAAACATTCACACCTAGCTCCAACAGACAGGAGTTCTTTGTCCCACCCTGGTCATTCACAGATATATAAACCCATTTTACTAGTTCCAATACTCACTACCTCTGAGCATGCCTGCCATAGATGCAGGCAAAAAGTCAGGAGAGCATGCCTCTAGAACATGGCCATATAGCCCGAAAAAAAACCTACAACAACCCAGTGATTCCAGCCATGAAAGCCTTCGACAATCCATTGAAATATTTCTCCAAACTTACTAATATAACTTTAATGTGTCCAGAGGAGAGGGACTAAAATGATCAAGGGTCTGGAGAACAAGCCCTATGAGGAGCGGCTTAAAGAGCTGGGCATGTTTAGCCTGAAGAAGAGAGAGTTGAGAGTAGACATGATAGCCATGTATAAATATGTGAGAGGAAGTCACAGGGATGAGGGAGCAAGCTTGTTTTCTGCTTCCCTGGAGACTAGGACACGGAACAATGGCTTCAAACTACAAGAAAGGAGATTCCATCTGAAAATGAGGAAGAACTTCCTGACTGTGAGAGCTGTTCAGCAGTGGAACTCTCTGCCCCGGAGTGTGGTGGAGGGTCCTTCTTTGAAGGCTTTTAAACAGAGGCTGGATGGCCATCTGTCAGGGGTGCTTTGAATGCAATATTCCTGCTTCTTGGCAGGGGGTTGGACTGGATGGCCCATGAGGTCCCTTCCAACTCTTTGATTCTATGATTCTATGAGGAAGAACTTCCTGACTGTGAGAGCTGTTCAGTAGTGGAACTCTCTGCCCCGGAGTGTGGTGGAGGATCCTTCTTTGGAGGCTTTTAAACAGAGGCTGGATGGCCATCTGTCAGGGGTGCTTTGAATGCAATATTCCTGCTTCTTGGCAGGGGGTTGGACTGGATGGCCCATGAGGTCTCTTCCAACTCTTTGATTCTATGATTCTGGAGACTTGGATTCATTTCGATTTGCTAGATATTCATGTACTGCCTTATTACCTAGACAATAACACTAAAGCATACATATGTGGACTCATTTTGACCCTGCGATTTTCAGTCAGTTGCTCAAGTAACACTCAAAAAGCTGATAATCATAGAAACTTTGAGCAATTCAGGAAATGGTTGGGGAACAAGAGAATGCAATGTTCACCTTTTTCCTTCTGAGCCAAACCTTTAGCCATTGAGTGGCCTGATGCAATGGGACTAATTGGTCTTCTGAGAATTTGCAACTGTACCTATGCACCTGATGCAAAGTGATGTCAGCATTAATAGTGTTGCTCAACTCATGGAGCAAAGATGAGAAACATCAATTCCTGAGGCTGAATTTGACCATGTCTCCTTCCCCATTGCACCTTCATGTGGCAATTTCCCAGGTTTCGAGGGTTTTTTTCACCATTCTGAAAGACTGAGATGCCTTTCACAAGGCTTAGTGACTGGCAATGAGTGCTTTGCAACAATACTTCTCTTAAACTGTACAAAGATGCCTTGCCTGAAGGGGTAGAGGAAGGAGGTGAAATCAATTTTCATTTCCTGAAACTTACCTCATTAACTTATCTCACAAGCACCCTCTGGTTGTGAACCAACGAAGGTAGAACTGGTTTGGTGCCTCTCACTCACAACCCTTGCCTTGCCCGCATTGACTTTCCATTTGCAGTGCCCAGCAGGCACAAAATAGTAAAGTTTCAGTGCCTGGAGCATGATATCCAGAGCAATAAAGCAACAGGAGAAGGGGAAGGGGGAGACGAAAAATAGCTCATTCATTTCCCACCTTTCTCCAATTGCCTCTGTGCTCTGGATATCATCACTCCAGGTGCCAAGTGATAAATACGGCCATTTCCATGCCCACTGGAAAAGGCAGATTCCTTCTTGATCCCAGGGAATGTATGATGATGGTATGTAATCAACTGTGCTGCTTCCTAATAAAAAGTAGATTACTCCTGAGTTTTGGGAATGCTCAAGAGCAGTGTTTCTCAACCTGAGGGTCAGGACCACTGTGGGGGTTGTGAGAGGGGTTTCAGAGGGGTCACCAAATATCATCAGAAAACATATATTTCTGATGGTCTCAGGAACCCTTTTGGTAGAGAAGACTGAAGAGCTCTCTGCCTGTCCTTCTCTTTCTTTTTGGTGTTGGTGAACTACAACTCCCAGAATTCAAAAGCAGCCTACCCTCCCCCCAACCCCACCAGTATTCAGTGCTGGCCATGTAGGTATTGTGCCAAGTTTGGTACAGATCCATTGTCGGCTGGGTTCAGCGTGCTCTTTGATTGTAGGTGAACTATAAATCCCAGCAATTACAACTCCCAAATGTCAAGTTCTATTTTCTCCCAACACCACTACTGTTCACATTTTGGGGTGTTGAGTATTCATGCCAAGTTTGGTCCAGATCCATCGTTGTTTGAGTCTATAGCACTTTCTGCATGTAGGTGAACTACAACTCCAAAACTCAAGGTCAGTGCCCACCAAACCCTTCCAGTATTTACTGTTGGTCATGGTAGTTCTGTGTGCCAAGTTTGGTTCAATTCAATTGTTGGTGGAGTCCAGAATGCTCTATGATTGTAGGTTAACTATAAATCCCAGCAACTATAACTCCCAAATGACAAAACCAACCCCCCCTCCCAACCCCACCAGTATTCAAATTTGGGCGTATAGGGTATTTGTGCCAAATATGGTCCAGTGAAGGAAAATACATCCTGTCTATCAGATATTTGCATGACGATTCATAACAGGAACAAAATTACAGTTATGAAATAACAACAAAATAATTTTATGGTTGGGGGTCATCACAACACAAGGAACAGTATTAAAGGGGTTGTGGCATTAGGAAGGTTGAGAAACACTGTGCTCAACAAAGAACAAAATAACCAAAACCACCGAAGTCCCACAAATCAAATCAAAATATGTGCTAAAATATATAGGCTTAAATTATATATGGCTTCCATTACACTACCTTTTCTATTGTATTTTGTAACCTGTCCTGCTTTGTGCAACTGTGCGGCATTGTGCTTCCTGTGACCTTTTCTGGATAGGTGTGAACATGGGCAGTGCCCCATAACCGTGTAGCCACTTGGAATGTTTGAGTTGAGAAAGCCAGTTTTGGCAAATCCTGAGTATCTGTTGGCTTAGAGTGTATTGCACCCTGGCTATAAAACAAAGGAGCTCACTGACATCTTTCCATTAATCATTGGAACATGGGCCAGCACCGTAAGTGAATAATTATGGGAGACATATCCTTGTCAACACTGAATGACTGAGATATTTTGGATATGAAATGATAACTAGGATATTTCTAACAGCATTTTGTTTTGATCACAACAGATGCATTGAGTTATGAGTACCACTTATTGCTATTATGTATGGAATAATTTGGCTGTGGGTATTGTGGGAAGGAAGAAGGAAGGAAGGAAGGAAGGAAGGAAAGGAGGAGGAAGAAGGAAGGAAGGAAAAGGGAGGGAAGGAGAAAGAGAGAGATAGAAGGAGGGAGGAAGAAGAGAAGGAAGGAAGGACAAGAGTAGAAGGAAGGAAAGGAAAGAGGAGAAAGAGAGGGAAGGAGGGAGAAAGAGAGAAGGAAGAAAGGACAAAAGAGTAGGAAGGGGAGGAAGGAGAAGGAGAGGAATAAGGGGGGAGGAAGGAAAGGAAAGAAGGAAGGAAGGAAGGAAGGAAGAAGGAAGGGGAGGAAGAGAGAGGGAAGGAAGGAAGGAGGAAAGAGAAGAAGGAAAGAAGGAAAAGAGAGAAGAAGGAAGAAGGAAGGGAGAAGGAAAGAAGGAGAGAAAGAAGGAAGAGGAGGGAGGAAGAGAGAAGGAAGGAAGAACAAAAGGGTAGAAGGGGAGGAAGAGGAGAAGAAAGAGAAGAGAGGGAGGAGGAAGGAAAGAGAGAAGGAAGGAAAGACAAAAGGGTAGAGTACCACTTATTGCTATTATGTATGGAATAATTTGGCTGTGGGTATTGTTGAAGGAAGGAAGGAAGGAAGGAAGGAAGGAAGGAAGGAAGGAAGGAAGGAAGGAAGGAAGGAAGGAAGGAAGGAAGGATGGTGTGAGAGAGGAGGGCCTGAGAAAAGAGTACAAGGGGCGCATCCAACCCCTGGGCCTGGGTTTGCACATACCTGATCTAATTGCATGCCGGGCACTGTGGTTTGTGGAGAAGGCCCTCCTCTCAATCCCACCCCTATCACAAGTGCGGTTGATGGGGACAAGAGAGGGGGCCTTCTCCGTGATTGCTCCCCGCCTCTGGAACTCCCGAAAGAAATAAAAATGATTCCCACCCTCCTCTCTTTCAAAAAGCTACTAAAACACACCTTTGCACTTTGGCATACAGGGAGAAGGAAGATTAGAGCTCTTTAGTAATGCAATTGAAAAGCAGGCTGGTCTGTCTGTACTTGTGGCCATTATGGTACAGTAAAGAACAACTAACAGACAAATGCTTACTGTGCTGACTACATTAGATGTTTTATTGTTGACCATGCTTTTAAATGTATTTGTATAGTGATTAGGTGTTCTATGTTTTTATCCTGATATTTAATCTTATTTGGTTAGTACAATGTTGCTATTATTCCATATTATGTTTATTGCTGTTAATGTTTTGGTATATGTCGGGCATTGAATATTTGCCTTTGTATGTGTAAACCACCCTGAGACGTCCCCCCCCCCCCGGGGGATGGGGAGAGAGGGTGGTCTAAAAATAAAGTTTATTATTATTATGACCATGTCATCTTGAAGAATGCAGTTTAGGGAAGGGGCATTTAGAAAGTAAGAGAGTTCTTGCAATTCACAAACCCCAGAAGTCCACTGGATGCAACCATGGCAGTTGAAATTGATGTCAAAGGACTATAAATGTGTCACTGCAAAGTGATGGCTTATTTTAATGGGATTAATTAAGTTTAGCAAGAAAAATTTACAAGCATTTTACAGAACCTGAATCACCACAAAATTAAGAATGTAACAAAATGTGTAGCTCAAGGAAACAAACTTATTAGCATTCTTTGTTGAATGTATTGTCAAAGGCTTCCATGGCTGGAATCACTGGGTTGTTGTAGGTTTTTGGCTATATGGCCATGTTCTAGAAGCATTCTCTCCTGACGTTTTGCCTGCATCTATGGTAGGCATCCTCAGAGGTTGTGAGGTCTCACAACCTCTGAGGATGCCTGCCATAGATGCAGGCGAAACATCAGGAGAGAATGCTTCTAGAACATGGCCATATAGCCTGAGAAACCTACAAGAATCCATTCTTTGCTGAGTTGCTTTCTTGTTGCCTTACTAAGCCATTCCACTTTTTTTCCTGCCTAGCAGTCTTTCCATTCTTGCTCCTTCTGGCAACGCTGGTTTCCAGCAATTATGCTGAGAAACAAGAAGAGTGGATGGCGTGCTTTCGTGATCCTGACTACGAGGAGCTGCTAAATATCGCCAGGAATGGTCTCAACAAGACCTCCAAACCAAAGACGGTTGTGATTGTTGGTGCGGGAATCAGTGGACTCACTGCTGCCAAATTACTGAAAGATGCTGGACATCAGGTAGTTATCATTACTAAGGGTGCAGCTACACTGTAGCACAGATGCAGTCTGTGATCATTTGAACTGCCAGGGCTCAATGCTATGGAATCCTGGGATTGGTAGAGTCTCGCTTATCCAACTTTCGCTCATCCAACATTGTTCTGTATTATCCAACACAGTCTGCCTCTCACCCAGATCCACAGCTATTTTGATACATTGTGAGGTTTTGGTGCTAAATTTGTAAATACAGTAATTACTACATAATGTTACCATGTATTAAACTGCTTTTTCTGACAATTTGTTGTAAAACATGATGTTTTGGTGCTTAATTTGTAAAATCATAATGTAATTTGACGTTTAATAGGCTTTTCCTTAATCCCTCTTATTATCCAACATTTTTGCTTATCCAACGTTCTGCCAGCCCGTTTATGTTGGATAAGCGAGACTCTACTGTAATTTGGAGTTATCAGCACCTTGTGGCAGAGGAAATGAACAACCTTGGAAAGCTACAACTCCCATGCAGTTATAATAGTATCAATTTGCATTGATTCTATTGTGTAGATAAGCTATACCCTAAGAAATACATGTCATTAAGGTTTTTCGGGCTGTATGGCCATGTTCTAGAAGCATTATCTCCTGACATTTTGCCTGCACCTGTGGCAAGCATCCTCAGAGGTTGTGAGGTTGTCGACAGCCTTCGACAATACATGTAATTAATTTCAATTAAAAAAAAGAGGAAGACAAACTGAATGTTGTCTACATGTGTACAAAAATATTGTACTCACTTCATATATGGTACTCGTATAAAATGCTACCAATTTGCATTTTGCAAGCATTCAATGCTTTTATTTTTTGAAAGAACATTTGTATGTTAATTGCATATTGGTGTTAGCACATCTCTGTCTATCAGCATTTAATTACCAGCCATGTTACATCATAGAATTGCCAATGACCTGTAAAGGCATTTGTATATAATGTGGACATATGTATATTCATATACATAAGGTGGGGAACAGAGTGGCCACAGCTTTGTGCACAAAACAATTTGAAATATAGCAGACATATAGGACTGTCCTTTAACACCAAAGTAAATTCGTATGGGAAAACATAGGTTTATGGGAATTTCCTTTCCACACTTTGTTTTCCCTGCTATTTGATCTGCATAATTTAGGATGACAAGGACCAAATCTGGGATCTTCCACATACAAGGCAGGTATCTTGTGAGTTTTGTTGTTTCTGGATATTATTATGCATAGTTACATTTTAATTACTTCTAGAGGAACAATAAAGACATGGCACCGTTGTCCAAAATCATGATTGCCTGAAATATGTTTTTCCTAGGTTCATATTCTGGAAGCCAGTGACCGTGTGGGTGGTCGGATAAAGACCCATCGTGAGAAGGATTGGTATGTGGATGTGGGACCTATGCGTCTGCCCAAGCACCACAAGTAAGCAAAAGGAGACATGACAGCAGCAATAACACAAAGCTATTCTTCTTCTGTGATCTCAACAAATAATGTTTCTAAATGACAATCTGAGTAGAAGCCTGTTTCTGAAACATCAGCAATACATTATTATTAACAGATGGTTTCCACATGAATCCACTAACCTGAACTTCAAAGGAGCTATCCAAGGTGCTGAACCCTATCCCAAAGAAGTTCAGAATTACGGCCTGTTGTTAATTGCTGTCAAGTCGACTTTGACTTATTGCAGCCCCGTGAATGGTAGACTTCCAAGTCATCCTATCATTATGAGCCCAGCCCAGGTCTTGCAGACTCAGGGCAGTCATGGTTTCCTGGTCGTGTTTGCTGGCATGGCTGAATGGGCGCCTTTATTACCTTCCCACCGAAGTGCTACCTATTGATCTACTCACATTTGCATGTTTTAAAACTGCTAGGTTGGCAGGAGCTAGGAATAACAGCGAGAGCTCACCCTGACCCGTGGCTTCAAACTACCAATTTTTAGGTCGGCAGATTCAACAGTTCAGTGGTTTAACCCATTGTACCACCATGGCCCCAGTGTGGAACACATTTCATCACATTAAAACAGTGAAGGTGGCTCTTAATGAGACATACCGCATTATCATGGGATGTCTACGCCCTACACCACTGGAGAAATTACACTGTTAAGCCAGTATTGCACCACCTGACATCTGTCGAGAAGTAGCAACCAATAGTGAAAAGACCAAGACAGTGACATCTCCAGCCCATCCCCTGTTTCAGTATCAGCCAGCACAGCAAGGACTTAAATCAAGAATAGTTTTCTTAGATCTACAGAGACACTCGCTGGAAAATCCCAGCAAGCGAGAGTCCAAAATTGGCAGGCCCAAACCCAGCACCTCAATCCATGGGTGATACCAGATGAGAGACTCCCCCTGGGCACACAGAAGACTGGGCGACTTGGAAGGTGCTGAACAGACTGCGCTCTGGCACCACGAGATGCAGAGCCAACCTTAAGAAATGGGGCTACAAAGTGGAATCCACAACATGCGAGTGTGGAGAAGAGCAAACCACAGACCACCTGCTGCAATGCAACCTGAGCCCTGCCACATGCACAATGGAGGACCTTCTAATAGTAACACCAGAGGCACTCCAGGTGGCCAGATACTGGTCAAAGGACATTTAATCAACTAGCAATACAACTGTTTTGGTTCACTCCTGACATGATAAATAAATAAATAAATAAATAAATAAATAAATAAATACCATGACTCCTTACACTAAAACAAAGCACTACTAAAATACATATCACAAATACACACATGCACCTTGCACCACTGTGAAGAAGAAGAAGTGTGTGGACTGATGAATAATTGATTAGAAGAAGGAAAATGAGAAAAGGTTTTATTGAGATTTCATAATAAATCGTGAAATATTTAGATCTTATTCCTGTCCTATACTATGTGCCCATCTCATTTCTGCAGGCTTGTTAATTGACCTTCAGCATGTCAGGATATAACAATATAATCTACAGTTGTGTTTTAAGAAGTGTTTCCCTCTTTTTCTATTTTTCAGAATTGTTCGCGAATACCTGAAGCAATTCAACCTTGCTTTAAACCCGTTTGTTCAGAATAATGACAATGCATGGTATTTATTTAGAAACAGAAGGGAAAAGGTGGCAGCGGTGAAAGCAAATAGTAACCTCTTTGGATATGAACTGGATCCCAAAGAGAAAGGAAAGTCGCCTGATCAACTTTATTTGGGAACGTTGGATAGGGTACGTCCTTTCTGAACAAGACTTTGGAGTTATATCTACTCTCCCTCCTCACATGCCCGATGCTGTTTAATTTAGAAGGGCATCATTGTCATTGTACCACTGCAATTGCCTGTGTCACAAATACCCTAAAGACACCAGATGCCAACTGATAATGGAAACTTAAGCAAGGTCAGCCCTGGTTAGTTCTTGGATGGTAGCCCACTAGTGAATACCAGGTGCTGTAGGCTGTTTAAAAGGAAGAAACTGATATAACTGTGTTGCGGTGGGTTTTTCGGGCTGTATGGCCATGTTCCATGGTCCTTTTAGATTGGGAAGGTAAAAAACAACATTCCCATTTCACTTCCTTGTTTGTGCTCTCATTCACATGTACCCCTCAATACCTGTGTTTGATCTGGGCCTGGCCAAAGCAAACACAACCTCTTTCATTTGGGACTTTTCATCTCATTTGTGATGCATGACTCAGTTTCTCTTTTATTTCATACACGGTTCCTCATTTTTGTGTCTTGTGTAGTGTTTGCCTTCATCTAAACTCTGCCCAAATCTGACCCTCGTCTATTCAATTTTGTGTACTTTAAAAATTGCCACATATTAATAATGAGTTTAATCCCTTTTAAAGTTGTCCAAGGTGGTGGCCTTTGGCAGTAAATCCCATCATTTAAAACTATGCTCTGTATGTAGAAATACTTATTTTTATTAATCTGTCGTGAAGATCCTGCCATTCAAGTTCATTGGATGCCTTCTGGATTCTTATGTCCTAAGGCAGTTTTCTCACTGCCCACTTTGTCGGTCCATTGCCTAATTTTATACGAACCTACTACATCTTTACTTTTGGGTTCTTGAAAGTAAAGAGCCTTACAAATTGTGCTCTTCCTCGATGGGATAGAAGGAAAAGCCTTGTAAAACAACAAAAGGCACATAAGATAAGCCAATCACTGGGTTGCTGTGAGTTTTGCGGGCTGTATGGCCATGTTCCAGAAGCATTCGCTCCTGTCATTTCGCCCACATCTATGGCAGCCATCCTCAGAGGTTTTGAAGCCAATCATTGCTAATATAGTTAACATTTTCTGACATGGATAACAAATGAACATATTGGTTGGTTCCCAGTAGACTACACTCATTACATAAATTGTTGAACTGTGAGTTAACAATTAGATAAATCCCATTAATTCTAGAATCTTATGAATAATTAGATTCTTGCTGTTATGACTGTTGCTGTTTCTTTTAACTTGGAAAATTGGATAAACACATAAAGAGGGTTACTTTTGCTTATCAGTTATCTTTATTATTCTCTCCAGGTAACAAAAGATTGCACGGTTTTGAGGGCAAAGTATGATTCTTACTCTGCCAAGGTAAGAGACATGGGCATGTGCTTGTCTTTAAAATATATTCTAATCTATGCTGCAATATATTGTGTTCATTTGCTTGTTTGTTATGCTGTACCTTTGGACATACTTCATCCAAGAGTCACCTTATTTGGTGTGTGATCTAATAGGAGCAAAGAAAAGACAACAGTAAAAAAATTGGGATTCAATCCATGAACTATTTGAGATATTTATTTTAAAAAATGCAGATTTATGAAATGGCTTTGCACAAACTTGATATTTATTTTCGGACTGCCACTCTAAAGATTTTAATTGAAATAATCAGTAAACATCAGCATGTTGTGATGAAGTGGGATGGGAATATTAATTGAGTAGTATTCTGGCCACTAAATTTGAAATATTTTGTAAAAGGCATTTCAATCAGTTCATAGGATCATACAGTTGGAGGAGACTTTGAGGGCCATCCAGTCCAAGAAGCAGGAAAGTTGCATTAGTGTCAATAAATGCAGCGATTGTTGTTCTAGATAAAACATTTTTTTTCTCGAAAGGGCCTTGTTTAGAGGTGCTATTGGGTTTACTTCCCTGTCCAATTCCAAGTATGCTTTTGCATAGAAGTTACTTCTTTATGGACTTCTTACTGCTTCTACTCCAAGATAGTAAGGCTGACAGAGCATCACCAAGATGCTCATTTCTGCAAAAAAGAAGGATTTTTTCACATGAAACAGAATCATAGAAACATAGAGTTGAAAGAGACCATTCGGCACAACCCCTTGCCATGCTGGAAAATGCAATAAAACAATGTAAAGATGAACACTGTCCCGAGTCACCAACAGTTTGAAGGACTGTGGCCTGGCCCTCTGTTTAAAAAGTTCGAGGACCCCTGATCTAAGATGTGTAAATAGGTGGCAATTTTCTTTTCCGTGTCAGGAGCAACTTATGAAATTGCAAGTTGCTTCTGGTGTGAGAGAATTGGACATCTGCAAGGACATTGCCCAGGAGATTATGGGGGCATTTGCCTAAGACCTCTGGAAGACATCAAGTTTAGGAGTGCCATTTTCTTCTATGATGTTTTACCATCCTGTGGGTGGCTTCTTTCATGTCTCCACACGAGAAGCTGGAGCTGAGAGACAGGAGATCACCCCACTCCCCGAATTTGAACCAGCGACCTTTCAGTCAGCAGTCCTGCCAGCACAAGGGTTTAACCCATTGAGATTGAGACAGTAGATGCAAACTGAATCAGAAAGGCCATGTCCCAAAGCTTGATAACAAAGCTTGGTCCAAAATGTGTGTGTGTGTGTGCGCGCGCATAGCAATGTAGCTCATATATTTTCAGTACAACAAGAGGCGAAAGAAAATCTAAAATCGTGGTATGTATTTAACGTCTATGGGAGAAAATATGGTATATAACTAGGTTGGTTAAAAGCAGCAACAACTGCGATACAGCTACAAAAACCATCCATCATCCATTCCTTTAGAAAATGTATTCAATTGCATTCAGTCTCTGTTTTGCTGGCAGAAATATTTCTTGAGCAGAATGCTACTAATGGTGGAAATGGGTAATAGAAAAAATCCTAGTTATTTTTCTCCTCTCATAGCCTCCAGGGCAATCCCTCCCAATCTTCTGGGGGGTGCTACAGCCTTCTATAGTAGGCTTTGAAGGCAAGGATATAGGGGACTACAGGAGGGGAAGGAGAAAGTCCACAAAACCGCTTCTGTTGCACCTACAGAATTCAACCCTGTGTTGGGTTCAACTAAAAAAGGAAATCCAACTTAATCATCTTGTGCTTTAACAACTATTCTCTGCCATATTTCATTTCCCTCCCATCAGGAATACTTAATCAAAGAAGGAAATCTGAGCAGAGGAGCCGTGGATATGATCGGTACACTCTCAAATCAAGAGGCTTCATTCTATCTTTCGTTTTTTAACTCTGTATTCAGTCATGTGACTTTTTCAGATGATAACAGGTAAACAGAAAGGGTTTGTGTTCTTTTGATTGACGTAGATTGAACAAATATTTTTCTTAGGACTAAAGGCAACATTTTATAGGTCCCTCACACTGAGTCGCCCAGACGTGAAAAACCAATGGCCAAGAGGTAACATCAGCTAACTATTAATTAAGATAGTCTATTTCTTAGCTGTTTTACTAAATAGAGAACTTGATCTTGGCATAAGGGTATCCTATTTTAAATATACTACTGTGGTATTTTTGCTCTTAAAGTTACACAACAGTCAGAACCATCATGATGCAGTGGTTTGGATGCTAGATCATCTTTCTCAGGATCATGGTTCAAATGCCTGTTCAGCCACGAAAACCCATTGGGTGACCCTGGACAAGGCACAAGCCCTGTGATAGCCTTGCCTTAGAGTCTCCATATGTTAGAAATGACTTGAAGGCACACAACAACAACAACAACAACAACAACTCAATTTTGAAGTATTCAAACTAGTGGATATTAACTATGTTCCTGTTTGTATATCAGCCGAAAGGCCCTTCCACACAGCCCTATAACCCAGAATATCAAGGTATAAAATCCCGCAATATCTGCTTTGAACTGGGTTATCTCAGTCCACACTCAGATAATGTAGGATTTTCTGCCTTGATATTCTGGGATATAGGGCTGTGCGGAAGGGCCCTAAGAGATATCGGTCCAGTCATTCATATCAGCAGGTATAAAAGTCTGGTTCCTGAAGCATCCCCCCTCATATTTGGATTGGATTTGATGCTGTCACACCTTTGCCTATTTTGGTTTTAACCATTATGTACAGTTAATTATTCATTCCTCTGCAAGTTATCTAGCTAGATGTCTTCTGAGATTCCATTTGATGACCATTAGCTTTAAATATCTGTTAGTGAACCTTAAATAGTATATTTATATACTAGAAATATTATCTGAAAGAATTAAAGAGAATAGGGGACTTTTGAACAGCTGAGTTTGGTGGAGTTGAAGAAGCAAAGGCCATGAGAAGGGATTTGTTAAGAATCAAGGAATTGAAAGAGACCTTGTGGACCATCCAGTCCAGCCCCATACCATGAAGCAGGAAAATCGCATTCAAAGCACCCCTGACAGATGGACATCCAGCATCTGTTTAAAAGCCTCCAAAGAAGGAGCCTTCACCATACTCCGGGGCAGAGAGTTCCACTACTGAACAGCTCTCGCAGTCAGGAAGTTCTTCCTCATGTTCAGGTGGAATCTCCTTTCCTGTAGTTTGAAGCCATTGTCCCATGGCCTGGTCTCCGGGGCAGCAGAAAACAAGCCTGCATCCTCCTCCCTGTGACTTCCCCTCACATATTTGTACATGGCCATCATGTCTACTCTCAGCCTTCTCTTTTGAAGTCTAAACATGACCAGCTCTTTAAGCCACTCCTCATAGGGCTTAATAAGGGCAGAAAGATAGAGAGAAAGAACCCCCATGGGCAACTTTAAAAATAAAGATGACAATGTCAGTAATAGGGGAAGGAAAACTAGCACATCTCTATGGTGTATTGAGGCTCAAGGTTATGAAACTATAGAAATTGTAGTTTTATGAGGTACCAGAACTCTTTGGCGGAGAAGACTAAATTCCTTGTAAAAATGAATCTCAAGCTGAGCCATGGCAGTTAAGGTGGTGTCAATGTGTATTCATTCTTGACACAGTTTACGAAATGTACCAATAATACACTTTGCCTTTGTTGCTTGCTGAGTTCAGTAAATGAATCCATTCACTGTTATCATTGTTCTTTTCCTGTTCCTCCCTTGATTTTAACAGTTTTTGAAAAATTTAACTGAAATGAGAACAATATACTGATCTGGAAACAGCCTAGCATAGTTCAGTAAAATAAATAAACAGAGTGTTTTTATACTTTTTTTAAAATACAGGTATTACAGAAATGTAATTTGTTTGACTGCTTGATGAATCGACCCATTTATCATTTTCATATTTTCTTTCTTCCTATTTTCTGGACTGCTTTAGTTTGGATGAAATCACAGGTGGGTTTGACAAGTTCCCCAATGCCTTCCTCCAAAAGCTGCCTGGAATAATTCGCCTCAACAACAAAGTAGAGAAGATTGTCCACTCGGGACGGAAAGCCACTGTGTTTTTCCGCAAGAAGGGCAAAAGTGCCTTGTCTTGGCTGACCGCTGACTTCGTCCTTGTCACAGCTACGACCAAAGCCACTCGACTCATTGAATTCCAGCCTCCTCTTTCTAACACAAAAGCCCATGGCCTTCGTTCCTTCCATTATGCAAGTGCCACTAAAATTGGCTTGGCTTGCACAGACAGATTTTGGGAGAGAGACGGGATTCGAGGTGGAAGGTCAATGACCGATCGGCCATCCCGAGCTATCTACTATCCAAGCCACAATTTCACCAACGGCCTTGGGGTCGTCCTGGCTTCTTATACCACCCGGGAGGATTCGAATTTCTTTCTTGCCCTCAGTGAGGAAAAGTGTGTTGATGTGGTGCTGGATGACCTATCACAATTGCACAGTATCTCCAAAGACTATCTCAGATCTGTTTGCAACAAACATGTGGTTCAGAGATGGAGCCTGGACGAATTCTCAATGGGGGCATTTGCTGCTCCGGCTCCCTATGAGTTCAGTCATTTTTTCAAGGCATTGGTCCAGAATGAAGGGAGGGTTTACTTTGCAGGAGAACATTTAGCTCATCCCCATGCTTGGATTGAGAGTGGTATGAAATCCGCAATAAGAGCAGCAAGTGCCATTAATCTCAGGGCTGCTAAGCCTGCCTTGTAGAAGCTGGAAATATGAGCCCATGTCACACCTATCCATTAAAAAAATGTCAGAATGGATAGACTTCCCCCACTTTTAAAGTACTGGGCGTTTGTGCCAGTGGTTATGAAAGAGAAACATGACGTGGCCAAGCTTTAGTATAATACGATCTTGCAAGTTTAGGTGTCTGAGTAAATAGGCACACAAACAAAGTTCAGCACATTTTGATATCCTCCTTTTCTTGGCCACTCATTCACTCCCTCCTTGGTTGGTTACAATCTTTGACAGTGCTTAAGCCAACTCCCTAACTTTCTAAAATAACAAGACTTTCTTCCTTATGCTAGATACACCGTTTTATCAAAGTTGCAACAAAGTGTGCAAGCATACACCTGCAAAAAAAAAAAACACATTTTTATCTCTATCAAAGTCACAGGAAGGCCAGTATACACTCCCAGGATTCATCATTGTTTACAAAAGGAACATTTTACCATCTCTAAAAACAGAGAAGGCAACATTTCAACATCAAACGTCTCCAACCACATATTTGTAAAAGCAACATTTCTTCTCACAATATTAATCAAGTGCCATCCCTTGTCAACATGTTTTTAAAACTGGAATCCCTTCTGATTTTTAATATTTCATTAATGAGGAGCCATGAAGTTAGAGAATATATCTAGCCTTCTCTGTAGTCTCAGTGTTTTCCCTGGTACTATTGGCACTAACGATATTTCATTTTCAAGAAATAGCTACTAACTTCACAGTGGTACTTACATGTTCCTGTCAGATACTGCAATAAAAATAACTAGAAATAAACATTCATAACAACCCATTTTTCTATGGTGATGATTCTATTGTTGATGCAGTGAGAAGAATGGCTAATTAAATGCATCACCCCCAAAAGAACAAGTAGTATCTGTGGGCTAAGGCCAAATTACTGCTTGCAGACTTGGTCCACTTCTTCCAGGCCCAATTATGCTACAGTAGAGTCTCACTTATCCAACCTTCGCTCATCCAACTTTCTGTATTATCCAATGCAGTCTGCCTCCCACCCAGATCCACAGCTGTTTCAATACATTGCGATGTTTTGGTTCTAAATTCATAAATACAGTAATTACTACATAACGTTACCGTGTATTGAACTGCTTATTCTGTTTATTTGTTGTAAAACATGATGTTTTGGTGCTTAATTTGTAAAATCATAATGTAATAATAATATTTATTTATTTGATCAGTCATATGACTATTTCAAAATAAAATCATAATGTAATTTAATAGGCTTTTTCTTAATCCCTCCTTATTATCCAACATTTTCGCTTATCCAATGTTCTGTCAGCCCGTTTATGTTGGATAAGCGAGACTCTTCTGTACTTAGAAGCCAAGATGAATAAACTGATGTTGTTGTACTTTGGGCATAGACACTAATGGAAGTTGTAGCTAAACAGAGCTTGCAAATTTTGCAATAGTGTGGGGAGGAGGGGAGGAGTGGCTTTTACCAATAGTATATTTATATGTAAGAAAGAGACTGGGCATTGGTTCATCCCTCAGTATGTTGTCAACCCATACCAACCCCCTTCTCAAAGTTCTGTGAACAATAAAGAGACTGCAAATAAGAAATATGTTTGTTTTAAAAAAAACATTTTTAAAAAATGTTTATTGTTTTCAAATGCTGGCTGAGATCTTTTGGCACGGTATCCAGTGTGCCGATTACCACTGGAACCACTTATACTGGCTTATGCCAGAGACTTTGCAGTTTGATTTTAAGGTCCTGATAACAACTGAGTTTTCCTGTTGTTTTTCCTCAATGCAACTGTCACCCGGTATGGCAACATCAATAATCCATTTTTTTTTCATTTTCCACAATCGTGATGTCTGGTGTATTGTGTTCCAAAACTTTGTCAATCTGCATTTGAAAATCCCACAGTATTTGTGTGTTCATTTTCTACTACCTTTTATGATCCCACTAGTTCTTTACTGCTGGCAGGTGATATTTGTGACATGTTCCAACAAATCATTTGGGCCACAGAGTTGTGCCTCTGTTTGTAGTCCATCTATGCAATTTTCTTGCAGCAGCTGAGGATATGATCCATGGTCCCATCAGCTTCCTTGCACAGTCTGCATTTTGGGTCATCAGCTGATTTTTCGATCCTGGCCTTAATTGCATTGGTTCTGATGGCTTGGTCCTGGCCTTCTGTCTCCTTCTTCAGTGTTCCATTCATGAGCCATAACCAGGCCTTCTCCTCGTCAACTTTTCCTTCGGTTTTGTCAAGGAACTGCCCATGCAATGCTTTGTTGTGCCAGCTGTCAGCTCTGGTTTGTAGTGCAGTTTTCTTGTACTGATTCTTTGAGAAGTTTCTGATTATTGACTTAAATCAAAGCAGGTTCTTTGCTTTCCTCTACATATTCTGCCAGGGTGTGTTTTTCTTCTTCAACTACTTGTTTTACTTGTAAAAATCCTCTGCCACCAGACCTTCTAGGCAGATAGAGCCGGTCAACATCACTGCGAAAATACATTAAATTATGAATGGTCATGAGTTTTCTTGACCATTTCTGCCTGTGTCCAATTTATGATGTCAAGAAGCAGGAAAATCACCAGATATTATTATTATTATTATTATTATTATTATTATTATTATTATTATAGGTCCTCCAAGGGAACACTATGATGTGGTGCTGGACGACTTATCAGAATTCCACAATATTTCCAAAGATCACCTCTAATCAGTTTGCAAGAGGCAACATAATATAAAATGGGTCCTGTACAAGTTTTCCATGGGGGCCTTTGCTTCTCCCACCCTACATCAGATTGGCCAGTTTTCAAGGCCTTATCTCAGAATGAAGAGAGGAGAATGCACAGGAGAACACACAGCTCATCCTCATGCTTTATTATTATTATTATTATTATTATTATTATTATTATTATTTCAAGCATTTCTACCCCTCCCTTCTCAACCCCCAAAGGGGGACTCGGGGCGGCTTACAAAAGGCACAATTCAATGCCAGCAATACACATAGTAAGATAAAATACATAGTAGCAACAATTATAAATAGTTAAAACAATCCAATTATCCAATAACAACTAATAAAAGCCAATCTAGTGCTTGAGTTGACACGACAATGAAATCTGCTATAAGGGCCACAGTTAGCCTGTATCTCGGTCTGTATGGAGAAAATGACTAAATGGTGTGCTGTGGTTTATTTAAGATCCTTGTGTGTGTGTGTCTCAAACTACTGTTGAACTTTTGGATTGCCCAAATGTTTTCTCAGTTCCTTTGGTGCTCCATGGATGTGGGGCATGTGCTGCATATGAGGAGGAGAAAGGGATTTATGTTCTGCTAAACCATTGTAGGCTCCAAGTAAAAAAAAAACAAAAAAAACAGAAACCATTCTTTCTCCACTCCAATAAAACTAGTCTGAAGTAAAGCTGGGAAAAGTTACTTTTTACAGTCTTCCCTTGCCCACATATTCCCCAAGCAGCACGGAAAGATGAAAGTGGAACTCTTCAGATGATAGGTAAAGGTTTTCCTCTGACATGAAGACCAGTTGTGTCCGGGTTGGTGCTCATCTCCATTTCTAAGCTGAAGAGCTGGCATTGTCCATAGACGCCTCCAAGATCGTGTGGCCAGCATGACTGCATGGAATGCCATTACCTTACTGCCAGAGTGGTACCTATTCATCTACTCACATTTGCATGTTTTCGAAATGCTAGGTTGGCAGAAGCTGGGGCTAACAGTGGGAGCTCACTCCGCTCCCCGGATTCTAAGCTGTGACCTTTTGGTTAGCAAGTTCGGAAACTCAGCAGTTTAACCCACTGTGCTACCAGGGGCTCCGTCAGATGATATTGGACTACAATTCTGATATTTCCTTTACATTTAAAGAACAAGAGTGATCATGGCTAAGATCCCATAATGCCCCGGAGGAGCAGAAAGCTCCATCAAGTGTAGCTGCCTACGTGTGTCCTTAGGCCACATTTCTGCACCCAGACTCACAAACAAAATGTCAATCAACTTTATTACAGTCACAGGTTACTCATAAAAAGGACAAAAACAGAACATAGCAGGCAATCAAGGTTAAAAATCCCAGGTAGCAGAATGTGCATACATGCGCATATATAGCATTTCAACCACCAACTTTCAGACCAATAACAGATAACAATCATTTTAAATGAAAATTATAAGATTTGTCCTTGCACTTTTTTCAAAACTGGATCTGTAAGTTGGAAATAAATATTCTCAAAATAGAGTACAACCCCACATATCTGCAAAACCAGTAGTCATAGTTTTACTTAACCATGTCCAAAAATATGTTCTCTGTAGGCATTCTCTAGGTTCTTCAGTGCAATTCTATGGTGTGCCTCATTGCAATATGGTTTGCTCCTATCCACAGTTTCACGTTTCTAATGTAAGTCCAGAAACGTATCCATTGTGGATATGGAGGGCATAGTATTTAGCCAAATGTGGTCAACCAAAAGAAAACGTCATCCTCTCTTGTCCTACCACGGAGATTGGTGTTGTGTGAAGGAGGTACTGGAAATACTCCTTCATTCTTTCCAATATAGTAGACATGTTTAGAACTAGCTGCAGTTTCTGAGTTATCTTCAAAGGCAATCCCATGTAGAGTGCACAGCACTAGACTAACTGGGAAGTTTCCAGAGTGTGGATTACTGTGGCTAAGTTATCTGTATCTAGGAAAGGCAGTGCTAAACTACACAGATATTTGAGGGCTCTTCTTACGTTCTTATCACCCTTCACATTGGCCATGCTGGCTAGGGCTGACAGGATTGCAGCCTAACATATTCTCCATGACTATTTGGGGAGAATTAATTCAGTGATCTTAGAAAACCCTTCTTCCTATCCCAATACCAGGGTTTGAAAGGAGTGCATGGAGGTTGTGTGTGTTCAGTAGGAAGGGTAGCATTTCCTAGAGAGAATCTGCCCTTGACTTCTTTTATATTCTCTGAAATGCTCTCCCTCCAACTTCTCACATTTGAGCTCTGGGTATTAGAATAATCCAGGGGTAGAAGAGGAAATCAAACCTTTATTGACTTCTAATGTTCCCTAAAACTCCCATCCGTACCATCAGAGGGCACTCAGGAGAAGCTCCAACGTTAACTAGTACATTGTGTAAGAGTTCTGCAGGT